TTTTTTGTGCCCTTCATTGATGATCTGGGCCTGTGTTGGCTAATCGTGAAAGTGACATAACGTGACCAAGTATGGTGACCCATACTTGGAATTAGTGCTCTGCATTTAACCCATCCAAAGTGCACACACACAGCAGTGAACACACACACACCGTGAACACACACCCAGAGCAGTGGGCAGCCATTTATGCTGCGGCGCCCAGGGAGCAGTTGGGGGATTCGGTGCCTTGCTCAAGGGCACCTCAGTCGTGGTATTGAAGGTGGGAGAGAGCGCTGTTCACTCATTCCCTCCCCCCACCTACAATCCCTGCCGGTACGAGACTCAAACCCACAACCTTTGGGTTACAAGTCCGACTCTCTAGCCATTAGGCCACGACTTCCCGTGAATCACATGACTTAATTTGCATGTTTTTAATATGGTGACAGCAGGAGGAATGGCTGATGCTGCACAGACATAAGGTAACCTGTATTAGTGGACTAGTAAAAATAAAGCAGTGACCTGTTTAAAAAAAATAAAATAAATTCCACTTTAAGTTTTATATCAATAATGTAAAACATTCATTGCATACATCAGGTCTGAGGTCTCTTAAGGCATCTTCATGACAGAGCGTCACACACACACACACACACACACACACACACAGCCCATGAATAACCCACACTCTCTGCTCTCTTGATTTTTCTTCTATAGTTGGAGTGAGCTGCAATCAGGCGCCCAGGAACTTTTAGCCGCGTGGGTACAAGGATTAATAATTAAAAATCCCTCAATAATCCAGACGCAGTTAACTCTCTGTGCCGAGAGAGAGAGACAGAGAGGGAGAATATGACATGCTTTCATTTTTAATTCTCAGATTTATTGAAGAGACTTTCTGTCTCTGTTATCCTGGTTTAACTTGACACTAAACACTGCCTAATGAACTCAGCCTGGTTACATGTAACAGGTTCATAATCTCTCTTTAACACAAACTGCTGGTTGGGCTAATAATCACAATCTTGTTAACACTCTGACTATCCTAAAAGGCTGAATGACTGGATGATAAATATTTTAAAAGAATCTAAATATTTTGCTGTTTTATTTGATGATTATATTCAATATATTTATATACATTTTAAACAAACATTATTAAATTCATTTTAAATTCATGTTTTAATGCAAGAAGTAAAATACAGTTTAAATCTTTTTTATTATTATTATGATTAATTAAGGCACATTTTCCAGCAAAACAAGCACAGGGAAGAATAATATTTGGTCACTTTTATTTATATTCACTTAAATAACAAATATTATTAATATTATTGTTATTTACCTTAATAAGATTAATTAACCAAAACAAAATATTTCTATTAATACATTTTGATATATTAAATATGTTACACAGGGACTTTTGTGTGCTTAAATTAAGTTTTGAATTGATTCACTGACTGTTTGAAATGATTCATGGAAATGAATCAATCTTTTACTTTCATTTATATGAACCAATAAACAACATTAACCAACATTTACTATTATTTCCCTAATATTATTCATTAATTTAAAACAGAAAATTAAATCAAATAAATATTACTAAGCAAATATAAACATATGTTTTTTATTAAAATATTTAGATATATGAAAAGTGTTACACAGGGACTTAAGTGTACAAGTTTAAATGATCTCAATCAAATATTGTGAAATTAGCCTAATGACTAGCCCTCAGAAAACTTACTTTACATAAAATTAATAAACTTTACCAAATAAAAGCACATTGCAATATACAGTGGGTACGGAAATTATTCAGACCCCCTTAAATTTTTCACTCTTTGTTATATTGCAGCCATTTGCTAAAATCATTTAAGTTATTTTTTTTTCCTCATTAATGTACACACAGCACCCCATATTGACAGAAAAACACAGAATTGTTGACATTTTTGCAGATTTATTAAAAAAGAAAAACTGAAATATCACATGGTCCTAAGTATTCAGACCCTTTGCTGTGACACTCATATATTTAACTCAGGTGTTGTCCATTTCTTCTGATCATCCTTGAGATGGTTCTACACCTTCATTTGAGTCCAGCTGTGTTTGATTATACTGATTGGACTTGATTAGGAAAGCCACACACCTGTCTATATAAGCCCTTACAGCTCACAGTGCATGTCAGAGCAAATGAGAATCATGAGGTCAAAGGAACTGCCTGAAGAGCTCAGAGACAGAATTGTGGCAAGGCACAGATCTGGCCATGGTTACAAAAAAAATTCTGCTGCACTTAAGGTTCCTAAGAGCACAGTGGCCTCCATAATCCTTAAATGGAAGACGTTTGGGACGCCCAGAACCCTTCATAGAGCTGGCCGTCCGGCCAAACTGAGCTATCGGTTGACAAGACTCATGGCTGTATTCGATCAAAAGGGTGCTTCTACTAAATACTGAGCAAAGGGTCTGAATACTTAGGACCATGTGTTATTTCAGTTTTTCTTTTTTAATAAATCTGCAAAAATGTCAACAATTCTGTGTTTTTCTGTCAATATGGGGTGCTGTGTGTACATTAATGAGGAAAAAAAATTAACTTAAATGATTTTAGCAAATGGCTGCAATATAACAAAGAGTGAAAAATTTAAGGGGGTCTGAATACTTTCCGTACCCACTGTATATCATGTTGCTCAATTTTATAATCATGGTAAATACTTACTTTACTTTACTTTATTGTCATTTTAACAGAGTTCCAATGAAATTCTCAGTGGCACAATCCAGTCTGCAGCATATCATTAAAATCAATAATGAAATACAATAAAATAACAAATGTATTAGTATAAAAATAAAGAAATAAAGTCTAATCACAGAATTCAGCATTAAGAGAAGCTACTGCTCTTGGATAAAAGCTATTATACTATTTTAGCTATTTTAAATACATTGTGAATATTAGATATAGTCTAAATAAGCTGTGCTTTGCCTGATGCAAAAAACAATGACCAGATCAGCACTGAGATATGTGGTTAATCATCTGTCCATTTAGCAGTAATGTACGACCACATCATCTGACTCAAGTAAACAAAAGCTGCTTATAATCGTCAGATCATCTGACCCGAGTAAACAAGCCCTGTCCGCATGCTTCCTGAGAGCTTTAGCTTAAATTAGGGAGTCTGGTGCTTGGCTGGAGAGAAAAATTCTGAGAAAAATCAAACTCGACAGCCTGGATTTCCCCTCAACGCTCTTCTCTTAAACGGCTATTAATTGGTCAACTAGAAAGACAAGCAATTAACATCACTCATCTATCCTCTCCGCTTCGTTTCTGTACTGAGAAGGGATTTTTTTAAGGGTTCATCTATGTCAAGTGCTGCTTTGGCATAAACACTTCAGCCCATGAAGCAGAAGCAGCTATCAGCTCCCACATGCGTATAGACCCAAGAGACAAGCCTGTCTGAGAGGTGAGAGTCTGGTTAATGAACGAGAAAGAGAGAAGAGAGAACATCAGGTGTTATTAACAGACCTGCCAGGGAAATGTAGAGCCGGTGTAATGAGAAAGTACTTTAGCACAGCCCATGTTTCAGGAAGGGTTGTCTCAGCCTTACACGAACCGTGACTGTTCACTGAACTACTCACAGAAAACTAGAAAAGTACTTCACAGAAAAGTACAGCTTTTTATCAATCAACCTGAAAGCTCTAGTTCATACTCATCACAGCTTTTCTAAAGGTTTGGCAATAGATAACACTAACAAAGAATAATTTCTAGTCAAAGAAATAAATGCATGAGTATAAATGACCTCACACTTTTGAAATTCCCTGATATTCTACCAGTTTATCCTAGTGGGAAAAAAAACACTAACATGAATTGTAATAAATGTGTTTTGTGCTAAGTATACTACAAATACATTTACATATTTAGGAGCTTAATTAATATACCCTGCAATTACAGCTTTAGTGATATTAAACCACATTTTAGGCATAATATTAAGAAATGTGCAACGTGCAATAAAGAAATACTCCAAATAAAGTTTAATTAGAATTTGATATCAGTAAGTCTTAAGTAATATATCAGTATACTTAGTATGAAATAAATGTATTTTAAATAAATTATGACACAGGAGTTTTTTACTACTGTATGAAATCCTGAAATCAACACTGCATTATCCTTTGCAGATAAAGCAGTCCCAGAATGCACTGCATTAAACAAAGTCAAAGTACTACAATTATATTAACCTTTATTCTGCATTCAATACTGACAAGTAACTATATAATAGCACCATCAATTTTTTAAAAACAATTTTTTAATTTTTGCAGCATTTTGCATCATTAGTTTAGCAATATGGACAAATGCCAAACTCTACTGAATCATCCCTGTATTATTTTTGCATTATTTAAATTCTATAATAGTATTTATTAATATTTGTAATTAGCTTTTATTTTTAGTTTTTTATTTTATTTTTAGTAATTTTGTTATGTGCTTTTGTCAGTTTTTCTATTTAGCTTAAAATTATTTTTATTTAAGTTTGAATTTGAGTTATTTTGGTACTTCACCTTATTTTATTTCAGTTAATTGCCAAGGCAAAATTTCTAACAAGTTTTTCAACTAGTATTTATGTCTTATTTAATTTCAGCTTTACTTCAGTTAACAAAACCAATTTTAATAGTTTTAGCTGTAGTTAACAAAAAACAACCCTAAATCAGACTCATTTGAGATGCCACATTCAAGTGGCATGTGAGTGACTGTTGCTGCCCATGTAGATCATTTCAAATCACTTAAGAGGTTTAATTTTAATACATACACTACTGCAGAGAATAAGGGTCTGTGTAGATGGCAGACAGTGAGGTTGAGTTTAGGAAGAGAGCTTTTATGTTACACCGCCTGTCAGTTTCAGAACTAATCCATCTGAATGTTCTCAGCACAGAGTTTAATTACGGCACTAAGTATTCAGTCAAACACAATACGCCCACTTTGTACTGCAACAATCGAGTAGCAAAGGTGGAGGAGTATCCCACAGCTGCACAGCACCCTGCTCTCTCAAAAGTGATCTCAGGGTTTATACCTTATACCCGGGTCCGAGCTGATGAATGGCAAAGATCTGTGCAGGGTTTAGCGCCTCACTGAAGACGTAAATGGCTCCGAGCTGCCCACAGAACACCCGGTTAGCATCCGCAGTCTCTGAAGAGCCCAGGAAACATTTATCATAACTCTGCAGGAAGGGAGAGAGGAAGAGGAGGTAATCAAGATAAAGGAATAAATTAAAAAAAACAAGAAGTTTTATCAGCTCAACGGCTTGAGAGTTTGTCGGAAAAGGCCCTCTGGAGCTGTTTACTTGCTATCTTCTGGTCATCTTGTTCTGAATTACTTCAGCTGGTCTATACGTAATATACTATAAAGATTTACCTAAGTGAAAAAGGTGTATAGGTGAACTCTATATCCCTTTGATCCACAGAGACAAGCGCTTATCTAATCACATGTCATTTGGACCCTACAGGTGCAATATTTTTCAAAGCTGAAGAAAAAGAAGTTGATTTTGGCAACACTGAGATGGTTATGTGCTTCTTGAGGCTGTGTATGAAAAAGAATGAGAATGTAAAAGCACTGGAAATGTGGGAAAGCTGTTAGCAGTACAAACACTTACATCATTGGTGTTGACGTGCCATGCCATGTCGCCGTAGGAAACCAGCTGACCGTTGACATAGCAACGGATCTCGCTATTCCTCCAACGGTTGTAGATGTGGACTATGCTGATCATGTACCACTGTAGAAGAGGACAGGAAATAGAAATGCAAGTATTGAATATTCACACAGCTCACTCAGCCAAGCATATGTAAAAGGTAGAGTAGTAAACACAGTGTTCTTTATGGAAGCCCCGTTTCCACTACAGAATTAAAAAAAAAAAAAAAAAACTTTTATCTCACAATTCTAACTTTATTTCTTATGATTCGGAGTTTATATCTCGCAGATCTGACTTTATTTCTTGTAATTATAAGTCTCTATCTCACCATCTCAAACATTTTCCTCAAAACGGCAAATTCATAGCACACAATTCTGACTTCTGATTTCTCATAATTACAAGTTTATATCTTGGAAATTTAAGTTAACATCTCGCAATTTAGACTTTTCTCAGAATTGCACATTTATAGCACGTAATTCTAACTTTATTTCTCACAATTATGATTCAATAGCTCACAGTTTGGAATTATCATCTCAGAATTGCAAGTTAATATCTTGCAATTTTGACTTTTTCTCAGACCTGCAAATTTATAGCACACAATTCTTATGTTATTTCTCATATTTACAAGTTTATATCTCACAATTTTGAATGAATATCTCGTAATTTAGAAATGTTTTCCTCCAAATTTCATGGATGAAAGGATTCATCTGTATCATGAAATACTCCTGTTTTGGTACATTTAATTTGGTATGGATATAAATTCATAAAATCATGCATTTCATGATCAAGACAGATCATTTCGTCCACAAAATTATGCAGGCCACTAGGTTTGGATTGGTTATCAGGAGCACAGGGAGAAATCCCATTGGACTAGCTACTCATTTGGCCTTTTGGCCCACTTATTTTCATTTATTTATTTACTTATTTATTATTAGGTTATATTATTGCATGCCCAAAGCCACTGAGTCATTTCTAAATTCGGCATTCAATATTAAATTGATAATAAATTATCCACTAGTCTTGACATGACAGCATAAATTACCACAAAATGAAATTATTTGCAAAAACAAGCAAATTAAATACAAAGCACTTTAACAAAAGAAAAACCCTCAGTAATGCCTTGTCCCATTGGCGTACACTACATTACTGTTAACGCAATGGGATGAGGGAATTTACTTTCTGTGGTAACTGATGGCATGCTACATATAGAGTTTAAATTATACTGAACCAATCTTTCAAGATTTGGACCAAGAAAATTCTGCGGAAATGACCCGGCCCCAAAATGAAAATGGTTCAATTTTTAGATCAAGCACATGAAACATCATCTCATTACATGCTTCTAAACCGAGAGCTAAATTTACTGAAACAGACTCATTCTGTTTGATGGCAGCAATGCTAAAAGCTGTTTTGGCATATGAATTAAAGATCAGAGCCCTGACGTTTGAAAGCGCTCCAGTGAGGAATACGTCAACATGGATCACGCAAAAGTGTCAACCATGTTTCCGTAATTCAAACAAAAGACTGAGCTCTTGTAGGGTGGAGTCCATATGGATGAGCTCTGGAAATTAATGTGGCCCGTCAGAAACTGGGAGATTTAGTGCAAACTTCCTCAAAAGACCTAATTTCCCAAATATCCTCTCTCCACCTTCCTAGCATCTTATGAAAACCTAAGGCGATATTAGCTGGGGTCACAGCAGGGAAGAAAGGATAAGCTAAAATCTGCTAGACCAAAAATCCATCCCGTAACTGAGATTTCATAGCTTTTAATGCCAGTTAAGATTTTACAGAAATACAAGAAAGGGTCATCTTCGTCTAGACGGGGCTTTGGATTTCCCAAAAACACAGCCCTAGATTAGTCTTACATTTCCAAACTTTTCCTCTGAGCTGCTGGTCTCCATTGACCAATAACAACTACACCATTTTAGTTCTGGATAGATCTTTTAGCTCAGTTCAGTTCAATTACGTTTCTTTTTGTTCACATCTCCAATCCTCCCTGATCCCCTGTTTTGCTCTATTCTTTCCCTCTTTAATATCTAAGGAAGTTTAATATAAATCTAAGAGTCACTAACAAAGTAGTTGATTAAAATCCAGCCCTTTTGTCCCACCACACACAGTTTCAATTGCAGAACAAAGTGCTGACTAATTAGGTGAGTTGTGAAGTTCATTGTTAGGCCGAGTACACATTTTCTCACACTAGCGTGTGTGTGTCTGGGCGAAGGGCTATAGCTTGCATTCTAATTGGCACACAACCCTCCCTTGTCGTCCTCTTCTTTGAGCAAACATCCCTTGCCAAACTTATTTTCATTTGTCGTTTAACAATGCGCCGAAACCGTCCCACTGGGACAATAAGAGGAGCCAAGTTATCAAAAACCAGATGTTGCTGTATCAGCCCAGTCTGAGTGAGAGGGGGAAAAAACACAGAAAGAGAGAAGAAGAAAGAGAGAGCGCTAAATAGACAGAGCCTGAGTACTACAAAGGAATAAGGTGTTATGGGAATAAATCCCTCTGGAGTTCCCTTTGTTTCTTTTGTGCACAAGCTAACAAGTTAGAAGGGCTTCAAGTAGAGCTGACTCGGTGGACACATCAAATTTGTGCAAAGATAAAGACAGAGAGAGACAGACAGGTGTGGTTTAACACAGCTGCTGCCCTCTAGAGGCTCATGCAGTTATCTGTGCAGATAGCCTGTTCATTCACTTCTCAGGGATTAAGAAATAATCTACAGAACAATATAGAGTAATTCATATTGAATTACAATTTTAAGAGAAAAAAAAACTTTTCTATTATATTGTTGTTATATATATAATTCCAGGCAGTTACACTTCTCTCGTCACCAGAGAGAAGTCTGCCGTTTCACTAGAAGAACAAGTTATGGTATTTTGATAAAAAAAAAAAATTACAAGGTCAATAAAAAAAAAAGAAACTTAATGCAAGATATCTAGATTGCTATGCAGTTGCTAAGGTTTTCAAGTGTTATTTATGCATAGCTATGTGGCTGCTAGGTTTACTGGCCTCTACTCAACAAAATTAATCTGAAGATCTTAAAATCAAAGTTAGTTCAAAATCAAACCCCCTCAATAAAAAAAACAGTCATTTTGATGTCACTAATAAAGGAAAAGACCATATATTAAAGGGATCATATGACGCGATTTCATGTTTTCTTTTTTTTGGGAGCATTACAAGCTGTTTGTGCATATATAAGATCCGTAAAGTCGCAAAGATTAAAGTCTCAAACCCAAAGAGATATTCTTTCTTAAAGTTAAGACTCATCCACGGCCTTCCTAAAACACCTAATTCAAACACACCCCAACAAATCTACGTCACTGTTTGGGAAGATTTGCATAACACCGCTCAAATGTATACACAAAGAAAGAAGGAGTAACTTTTATTCTCGCTGTAGTATTGTTGCCATCGCCGCCATGTGGTGGAGACTCAGTGTGTTTCCAAATATGGTAAGGGGCGTAACATTTCCTTCACACTCTTGAAGTATTTGGCCAATCACATCGCACTGGATAGCTGGCCAATCAGAGCACACCGTGCTTTACACAACGATGAGCTTTGTAAAAATCAACGCGTTTCAGAAATGCGGGGCAGAGAGGAGCAAAAATAATGTACGGTGTGTGGAAAATAATGTGTTGTTTGAACCTTAAACCGCATTACACAAAATAATGTTCTTTTTAGCAACGTCATATGACCCCTTTAACACTGTTCAACCCTCCAGCGTACTCTAGATACTCTAGTCTACTTGTGTGTGTAGACAGGTCAAAACTCACCTTCCTAGGCTGGAAGTCGTACTTCACACAGTGTTGAAAGCCTTTCCCCTTTGACTTCAATGATGTCACAATTAAACAGTTCCCCACAAAGTGTGCCGAGTAGCCAATCCCTTTGCTGGTTCGAAAACTAGGGGACAAACAAAAGAGAAAGAACTGACTTTATGAAAACAACAAAACAAAGAAAGGAGGCAAAGAAATGGCAAAATGAGGCAGAAAACGCAACAACAAAAAAACGCAATATGAAACAATATTTTTACATTTTAATGGAAACTTGCCCACTCCACAGGTTTTCTTTCAATATGAATCAACAACCACCCCATCTTTTATTTACAATCTTCTTTCATCTCATATTTGCTCTGCCTTAAACAACTCAAACACTTTTGTTATTCAGGCCATGCTACAGAACAATTTGATTTCAACATGTTTTCTGCAATTTTTTTTACTGAACTCTTATAGTCAGATGTGAAAACTCTGTGAAAATATGGAGGGAGAATGTCAGGCTTTATTCTTGGCGGGAAAACAAACATTGCTGACTGAGTCATTGGCAGCAGAGATTGCTGGGAGCGCTGGCTGCTGTCGATAAAGTGACTGGCTATCAGTCGGGCCTCAAAGCGGTGCTGTTTCTCTCGCTCTGCGCCTACACGGCTACATAATTCTATGCTGAGCTCACCACGGTAACACAGAAACAGAAAACGGGATTACATGCTGATTTAAGCGAGGTCAGTGGCCCTCAGACTTCTGAAGTGGTAATCTGTACCTTCAGTGTCTCCTCCTTCAATAGTGTGCAAATGCTGCTACCCCAACATGGAGGATATACTTTATTAGCTGTTACAAATATTCAAAAAGGCCTCCTGGTGATACAAGTGATGTTGTAGAAACGTGTGTGCAAATTCATTTCAGTTTCAGCAGTTATTTGTTTTATTCATTTGAATCATATTACATGTAATTATTCAGGGCATCCTTAAAGCCAATATATTCAGTGTATTCAAGTCATACATTTACTGTATGTCTCTTTCCTGGGAATCAAACTCGTGATCTTGGCACAGTTAGCGGCATGTTGAAGTACAGGAAATTTGCATGTAAAATTAAATTACATCTATGTATACTAAGAACTCATTTTGCTGGACTTGTCTGCAACCTTCAACACAGTAAACCAACAGATCATGCTATCTGTTCTCTTGACAGCGAGCATAATGGGAACTGCACTCCATAAGTACTGTAGGTCCTTCGGGATATCTTGAAGGGGATTACGAGTGTTTTTGTGAAAGAAACCCAGACTAACATCAAAACCAGACCAAAGAATGAAATGCTACAGTAGTGTAGAATACGCCATTAAAGTGTAGCACTGACATTCAATAAAAGGTCAAAACTAACAAGGATCCTCAAGGCTACTCTGCAAGGCATCTCCAGTTTACAACGCTGGTTTATTTTCAAAAACAACCAGAGGTTCTTTGGAGAATCTCCTATGACATTTAGGAATTTTGTGAATTCATATAGTTTGCCCTCTAGTACGGCAGGCTTTTTTTGGTTACTGGAAAATAGGGCAGGGCTCATCACTCCAAAATTAGCAGTCTCTTCTTGTGGGCCAGCCCTGTAGAGACACTTACCACTTCAAACAGAAATGGTAATATAATATTTCATATGTGCAGATCTCCCGTGTTTCCACCATGCTGAGAAGCTTGAGGCTCACAGGTGTTGGTCTAGGTCGCTCAGAGCTTCAGCTCTGAAACCAGTCCTGGCATTTACATTTTAATGACTGACGACTGGTCAGCATTAAGCTGTACCATTACTTCTGCACATCCTAATGTGCCACACACATTATACTCACCAGTATAAGTATGGTTTATCCTTGTCTACATTGATATTATTGAGTGGGTCCATTCGGAACCATGTGTTGAGAGTGAATCCATTCTGGTAAGGCCACTTAGCAATGGGTGGCAAAGCAATGGCCTGCCGGAGGGCAAAACACAAGGAAATTAGAAGATGCAAATTTGAAACAATCATAGGAATAATGAAAATAACATTTGCAGAATAAGCTGACCACTATATACAAATCGACCTTGGTTCAGTGGTTACTACTCTGGGTTAAATACAATTTGCACTCTAATAACAGCATTTGTGGCATAGTGTTGATTACCACAATATTGTCAGATAATGATTCTCTCAGATTGTACAAAACAAAAAAATGTATGCCCTTGCAGTGAAAGGTTACAGGAAACCATGCGGATGGTAGAGGAAAGAAATGTGAAACTTTTTGTAATTCATGTATTTGTAACATGAATTATATATATATATATATATATATATATATATATATATATATATACACAGTG